CAGTCAGTATCCATCACAGCTGTGTTGTGTCTCAGCAACCCAGAGGTTGTTAAGTGTCTGCTGCTATTGCTGCGGTGTTCATCTTGGAGAATGTGCTATTATGAAGCATGCTCTGTGCAGATGGACATAAAAATACCTATGCTTTGCTGCTATGACATCACAGTCAGTCTATCTGGGTGGGGAAAAGGGTCATGTATTTGCACTATACTCTGTCATTAGAAGTGCAGTGTGTCATTATATTACACGAGTTATTATAAGGATTTAAAAAAATTCTCCTGCTTTGACCTCATGTTACTGCAGTGTGAACATGTTTCTCAGTGTGTGTATGGCTGTCCATTTGTCTGCTTAAAGCTTGAACTCCCAGCTGGCCAGAGTGAGATTCAGCTCACCTTTGTGCTGTTTAGACTTTAGGACAGTGCAAGACTTAGACCAAAGCAAACAGGAGCCCACCATGGATGGAAGGAGGGATGATGGAGATAGAAGGGCTTGTGGGAAGGAGGACAGATGGAGCAGTGAACAAGGCCCTGCGTCCTTCTGTCTCTCTGCCTCTCTGCCAGTCTCTTTGACTTCTTCCTTTTTTTTAAAATTCAGGTCTTTTAGCCTTTATGTGGGTCCAGATGACAACCAGCCTGTGAACTATGTCATTAAGACTACAGATGTCTTTTCACCACTCCTCTTAAACTATTATTACATTACCATCTCTAAGATATAATGACTGTAAGACTGTGCCTTTTATTTTTCACACTACTTTGTGCATAAAAGATTTTACCCAGCAGAGCTTAATCTGGCAACCTGCCTTTCCCATGACCCCGCCCCCCAACACATTCACATAGAAAGCACCAGAAAATGACAGACAGTGAGACAGAAGTTGTTTTTGTCTTTTCCTTTTTCTCCCTTGCTTCCGCATATGGTCATCCGTTCTGCCTGTCTATCTGTCTGTCTGTCATTACAGTAAATCAGAGGGCTCTTCTGCTTTATCCAAGCGTCCTTCTGGCTGGGACGGCTGCAGCAGATGTTGGAGCCTGGGACAAAATGGATTTCCCCCCACTGAGAGCAGCTTTTCTTGCCCTCCTTAATGGAGGTTCCTTGAAATGCTAATGCCTCAGCATTAGTATAGAGGTGGTCTAGCAGAGTGATAGTGGGGGGAAAAAGGAAGACCATGATCTCAACTGAAAACAAAACCTGTCGCTGAACAACTTCACGACAAATATACTTTGCTGTACCAGACAGACAAGTATCTAGTAGAGGTTTTGACAATGAGAAAGCAAGAGAGGAGGATATTTGTCTCACCACACACACAGAGTTAGGGTGAGTAAAGGCATCTCGTCCGCTGCCCTCCTCCCCTGTCTCTAAACCTCCTCCATTCCTTCCTCAAAGTTCACTTCAAAAGAGAGATAATGATTACTAAGCATATAAATGGAGCAAAAAAAAAAAAAGAACCAATTTCTACATTTCACTAAGCACTGGCATTTAAAGGATCAGGCACGATTCAGAAATTAGGAGGCTTAACTCTGAAAACATTTGATGATCAGCTGCTGTTTTGCTGTTATCAGAGGAATCAAAAGCAAGAAGAAGCAAAGCTGCTTTGCTTGAACAGCATGTACCACATGTTTTCACTCCCGGAGGCGTAGCGTAGGTACAGAGGATGGCAGTTGTAGGAACTTATATTTCTGCTATGTGCTAAGAAACAGTGTACTATGAGATGAAAAGGCAGGTACAAGTGAGGCAAATTTGGATAAAATAGCTGTGACTTGCACATCAGGATGGCTTCACATTTTTATGCAAATTTGCAACTATTATTCTATACAGTGACTTTTGTGCAGCATGTAAGGCTAGAAGAAGCTTTTTGCTCTTTTGCTTTTTTTTTTTTTTTTTTTTGCCTAACCCACCTTCACACACACACACACACTCAGATTTATCACTCTGGACACTCTTGTCCCTGTCAGCAGCTGGCGGGTTGAGTCTTGTTTGCTTGTGTGTGTGTATGAATGCTTGTGCACGGTTGTGTGTGTTTGTGCACAGATCTCCAGTAAAGCCTGCTGCTCTGCTCTGCTGTGCTGGCCAGGCCATGTGGCCACTTTAAAGCTCCTTTCTGAGAGGCCTGTGAAGTTGTTAAGGAGCTCCACTACACTGGCAGTTGGCTCTGGGAATCCCTCTGCCAGCTGTAGCCTGCACACACCCCTCCCCGCTTCATTTCCCTCTCTCTGTCTCTCATGTTTTCTCTCTCATGCTTACATTTGCTCTGTTTCTCTGTGTTTGCTCCCATCTCTGTCCTCTCTTTCTGTCTGTATTTGTTTGTCGCCTACTCTCTGTCTCTCTGTCTGTTTCACATATTCTAGTTGTCCCTCTCTTCGTTTCCCTCTCGCTGTCTGTTCCTCGTTCTGACCGCGGTATCTGCATAATCTATGTAGTGAAACATCATTGCGGACCTTCTGTCTCTTCTGGCACTGGTCCTGCTGCACATGTTTTCTCCTGTATACCTGCTCAGATCGCTGAAAATGCACTTTGGCAACCATCACAGAGCCACGTGTGGCAATGATGGTTATTTAGGAAAAAAGACTGTGACCAAGCTGGTTATGGAAAAAAGACGAGCTGTTGGGAATAGACTGCACCACTAATTCTGCAAATACTAGAGCTTAATAGACATTTACTGTAGTTATTCAAATTATAAATTTACCATAATGGTTCTTGTGCTGCTTTCTATTTTTTTTCCACTGGCTCACTCACATTTACACACAAATACTGGAAGGTTGCATCCCTCTATGAATTTGGCTGACCTTTCATCGAGAGCAGAGAGCAGGTGCACCTGTGTCCTATTCCCTGGCTCATACTCCCAAGGTCTGCAGTGCACATCTGCTTGAGTGCACTTGCTTGTACACACAAGGAGGATATTTGCTTCTATTGTCATCAACTCCATTTGTGGTGAAGGTCCCTGGATACAGGGTTATAGATGAAGAGCCGACGTTTCTAATATCTGTTTGCTGATGTGCTGATATAAACAGTTTTTTCACTGAGGTGCTTTTTGTTCTGTACACATCATAAAGTAGCTCATTCAGATAAAATGCTGAAATACAGTAAGGTTATATCATTTGCCTTAACTTTGACTTGACTTAAAAGTTTGAGAACAAGCAAAGTATGACCAGATTTCAATATGTGATTGAGAAAGTTTAACAGTTTTCCTATCTACTGTATCCAAACTAGGCAGGACCTTTCCTCTAATTATCAGCTGAAAGACAAAGTTTAGCACTCCTGTCACGTGTCCTTCCTCCATCCTCCTGCCCATTACTTTTCCTTTTCCTTTTCCTCCTCCTCCTCTCCTCCTCCGTTCCTCTCCTTTCTCCAGAGACGGCCATGCAAGCTGGCGTCCTTTCACTCCACAGATGTCTCTGTTCCTATAGGGCTCTCGCTGTGAGGAGATGTGTTGGCAATCCTGTGAAACACACCTAACACACGCGCCCAGGCTCACACACACAAACACACTCCCAGAAACACCCAAACACATGGTGTGATACTGCTGTTGTCGCTGCTGGAGTCGATGTCTGTGAAGACTCTCATCTTCGCTCCCTCGCTCGCTTGTTCAGTCCTTTTCCTGTGTGTCTCTGTTCAAAAAAGAGACGGAGAAAAGTGAAGAGAAGCAGCAGAATGTGTGCGTCTGCGCATTTGTGTGTACACACAACACATCCTGTGTGACAACCTGGCGTACACTAGATCCGCCAGTGCTCTCAAGTTGGGTGTGAGAAGGTTGTCACCACATACCTGAGGCTGGCGGGATTAACACCTGTTATGTTATGAGCGTCAGTGTGTCATGTATGTTTATCAATGAGCATCTCACTCTGTTCATTGTGGATTTTATATTTTAGGCTTAATGCAAAAAATTAATACATTTAAAAATACTAATAAATGCATCTTGTAGTCCAACGAGGTGGATTCCTTGATTCAGTCTTTGGAAGAAGTTCTCTGCAGGGTCTAGAGACAACTGGGTGCAGTTAGTGCTAATGATGTCTTCAGGTGAACTTTGGCTCCAACAGTTTTGTTTTGCATATTTATTCCGTTTTTCTTCAAATGTGCTGTGAGTGTGTCTGTGACGCCTGTCTAGGCTAGTGTGTTGGTGTGTTTTTCTGTTTTCAGGAGTCATGCTTTTATATGCGCTCCTCTTGGCTGTACTGTTTTGTGTTACTCTTCGTGTGTGTGTGTGTGTGTGTGTGAGAGAGAGTTTGTGCATGCGTGTGTGTCCACAGCATGGCAGTCCATCTGTCTCCAGGAGAGCAGTTTCCTGTTCTCTCCCTCTCATCTCTGCCACTGCAGAAACACACAACCTGGTCTGACATCCACTCACACACACACACACACACACACACACACACATAGAAGTGCACGCACAAACACACATGTATATATATATTTATATACCTTCTGTCTGTCTATCTGTCTGTCTGTCTGCAGACACACATTTGCCTGTCTGTCTTTCCGCACACATCCTTATAAAGCTCACCAAAGCCAGTCATCTGCCTTCCTTCTGTCTCTCTGTGTCCCTGTGTCTGCTTGTCTATTTGTCTGTCATTCAAATGGTCACAAACGATAGGGGAGGGGTGTGGCATTTCACACCTGCCATTTGGTATCCCCAGATGAATCTCAATAGAGTGCTAAATGGCAGGGACACAAAATGGCTGCAACAAAGTAGCTGCTGCAAAATGGTGACAAATGAAAGGTGTGACGGTGAGTCAAAGGTTTCAGGGTCTCTCTGGTCTTTTGAGTGTTGGTGAAGTTCAAGGAGGATGCAACAGCCGTGCTGACTTTCTGTATGAGACAAGCTGATTGATCGCCCTGACTGCTGGCCAGAGAGGTTTATAGTGATTGTTCCACGGATCCTTGTTTGCTGGAAAACAGTGATGCCTGAGCTGTGTGTGAGCATATCACGGGTGTGTGTGTGTGTGTGTGTGTGTGTGTCCGAGGGGGACATTGATTGGAGCTATTTCTGCTTTGCCACATGACAGATGCAGCCTGTTCGCAGCAGAAACGTCAATGCCCACACCTGCTTGTGTGGTGAATGTGAGGCATCACTGACGATTGCCCGTGTGGAGCCAGACTGAGAGAATGACAAAGTAGGAGGAAATACTTTGTCAGGACCCAGATATCTGTTACAATGTGAGTTATTACTGTGGCACATGATCAGCACTTTATTAAAGATGAATATCTGGGAAAAGCAACCCAGGGACATGTTACCAGACATGTAACATAGGCTTTCAACATGATTTCTAATGGAGAACTGTTTACTCTTGCTACAGTACAGTACAATGTTATGAAATTAAATATGAATGTGTTTGATTCTCCTTTACATTTGGTGAAAATTACAACACACTACACGGTGCGCCTGCATTTCCATTCAGTATTATCAGCTTCTATGATGGGGCAATCTGTTGACTATTGGTTTAAAGTAAAGATACCCCAGTATCATCTTATTCCTGCACATATTTAGCAACCATATAGTTTGCAGAATGAAAATACACCGAGATTGAAAGACAAAATCGTGATGAGGGCTCTTCTGGCACATAAAACAGTTTTAAATGAAGCAAGAGAGGGAGGAAAAAAAAGAAAAAAGAGAGCCAGCCCTAAGTGTCGGGGCGTGTTTGACGCAGGTAGGATTATAGGCCCTAATAAGTTATAAATGATAGTAATGGCCATCTGTTCGCCTATAGGGAGCTCCTAGCCAGCTCTGATTTGGCACGCCAAGCCGCGGCACGACAGACACTCCTTTGAGCATTGGGCGTTTAGAACGCAGCCACCTCGTGCCTGGGCATTTGCTAAATTCAGACGTGACACTCTGGCAGCAGATGCTCAAAGCTAGACTTCAAGACGAGGATAAGTAGAGATTTTTCTCTCCTCACTAGGAGCATTAGGGACACTGTAGTTATGGAACTGTCAAATGTGCTTCCTCCATGGACAACTAATACCAACCAATTACGCCTGATGGTTACAGCAGAGACATAGAAAATCCATGTTCTGCAGGAAATACACAGTTGTAAGTGAAAATGTCCTTTTAAAAACATCTGAATGTCACCCCTGCTTGGCCTGTAATCGAGTAACTACTTTGTCCATGGTAACCGTGGCCTTTCCATCTGTGTGTGTTTGTGCATCAGGGCTCTGGTCTTAGCCCTGTGGCAGGTGTCTCATCCCAGTTCAGTGTTTGCAGTCTGGCCCCTCTAAGCACTGTAGCCTGTCTGAGGCAGATTACACACACACAGGAGCAGATGGGTGCAGACCTCTGTGCCCACAAATACACAAAGCAAGGCCAGACCAGCCGAATGTACCGGTTATATACGAGTGTACAGTATGCATATGTATGTATATTATATGAAATTATGTGTGCACAACATGTCTATTCCTTACATCTATGTTTACATGGGTTTATATTATGTGTCAGTGTGTGTATTTGTTTCTTACTGCAGCATAGCTAAGGACATTACCGGGTAAACATTCTAATCCAGGTGCCCAGAGATGAGAAGCATTTCCTATAGATGTCTAGTCCCATACCAAGGCCAGCTCAACTGGCATGGCTAAGATATTTCCTCCTCAGGTTTGTTCATATTAAGGCAGGAATTAATAGCATTGCTGGCTAAGATGCTACACTAATGCACCACATGTCTTCTCCCTTATCAGACCTTGTGTGGGTGGAATAAAATGCTACGCCTTGCTAAATGTTACCATACCCAAGACTAGAACTTCACCATAACTTCTTGTTCTTCTTTTTATCATATTTTCTTAAAGCTACTCTAGTCAAGATTTTGTTCATGTTGAAAGGAAGACTTTTATACCCAAAGAGAGCAGCCTACACAATGTGTTCTTACGTTAGTAAAATGCCAGTTTTGTAACACTGAAGTAGTAGTGACAGCCTGTTGGTGTTCTCACTGATGGTATGGTTTTGCCCACTGAGAACTGGGAAACTCACTGATTTTATTAGTCAGGTGGTTGCCAGTCTGCACACACATTTGTAACCCAAATCCAAAATAATTCATATTAATAGGGGTGGCTGTGGCTCCATAGGTAGTCTGGGCCATTGAGGTTTGATTATTGGCTTCTCCAGCCCACATGTTGAAGTGTCCTTGAGGAAGCAGGTGAACCCCGAGTTGCTCCCAGTGATATCACTGGTGTGTGGGGGAATAGGAAACGGGAAGCACTCTAGGTGCACTCAATGCACAGAAAAGCTCCATATAAGTATAAGACCATTTAATATGCTGTAACTTTGGGGCGCACGTTCCATAAGATTGAGAAACCTGGCTGTATAGATGTGCACCCTTTCTGCCAGAGGAACATTAGAGAGGTCAGGTACCAGTGTTAGGTGATAAACCTGGTGCACAGGCTTTCCAGTTCATCAGACAGGTGTTGGATGGGCATGAAGTCAGAGTGTAGCCTTATAAATGTCCATTACACTTAGAGGAATAATTTTAAGGACATACATTTAACCTCAATTATATGAAGAGACCAGACATACCATTTTATGTCTGTACAGTAAAAATGAAGTTACCCCCAGCAGCCATTCAGCTCATCTTAGTGTATTCTGCATGGAAACAGGAAACCATTTACCTTGATATTTAGCTTCAAAGGTAGCAAAATCCACCCACCTCTAAAGCACCTCTAAACTGTCTTGTTTGTTTAATTTGTACAGTTTGTGGTTATGTGTTTGACTGTTTCTTGGTTGGGACCAGGTTGGAGTCTCTGCTGGTTGCCTGGCAACTACTTCTAGGTATGACCCTTGTTTGTGCAGGCAGACACTGTCATGTTGAAACAGAAAAGGGCCTCTTCCTAACTGTTGGCACAAAGTGGGAAACACTATTGTTTGATATATCATGGTGTGGTGTGGCATTAATATACTGAAAACCAAGACAAGACTTTAGGCCACTGATGTGGACAGGAGTTTGTACTTCTAGCCACGAGGTGTACAGTCAGTAGTGCATATGTCAGGTTTATTGTGTGATTTCATGTGCCTGTGCCATCGTCTGGTTATTTCCAACAGACTGCAGTTCTCTGGGGGGGTACCAGAGTTTGATTAGCACATTCTCACCTCCCAAACTAAAATAAACTGAACATGAAACAAGAAAAAGATCACATTTTAATCCAACAGCTCCAAACAAACAGATGTGAGACCTTGCTTTGTCTTGTTTGTCTCTGTACTTTGTGACAGTTGACTCATCCTGCTCAGACTTGCAGCTGTGGCTTTACACTGATTTGCTGCATTTTTTTTCCTGTCACAGTCATGTTTTGGATACTGTATCTTCACAGAGATGACAAGGTGATGTCAGAAGAAACTTGTGTAGCTCAGACTGAACTGACAAATACACATACACACTCATGCACATGCGCAGGTGCTCCTCTGTGTGTCATTCACAACTGCTATTAGATGCTTCATGTGACCATGGGTTGCTGGTAACACACAAATAGGAGAAATCTGTCACAAGCAAGACTGCTATATTGGACCTTACAGGGAACACTGTGGTGTGTGTGGATGCAGAGAGATGGAGCTGGCTGTGTCCCATCCCCAGCTGTGTGTGTCCTCAGGGGCTTGATGTCTAAACAGGAAGAGGTGTCAGATCACCCGGGGATCCATCTTTGGGACACAACAACTGGAGAACTGTCTATCTGGAATTCCGTCTGTCTGTCTCCTACACATACACACATACAGAGACACACACACATACAAACTGTCACCTATACATCACAGCAGCAGTTTGTCTTCATTCCCCCAGCACCCTGTATGGATGCTTTACCTGCTGAGTGTGTGCCTGCCTCCTGTTTCCATGTGTTGACGCATACACACACATATACAAACCTAAAGCACACCAGTGGAAGCTCTGATAATGAGTAATTAGCCGACCAAACAGGTACTCCGTCATCTAGTGGATGAGGGTGCAATATTGAATCTAGTAGACAGGAAGGTGTTGATAAGAAAGAGGTGGGGAAGTTCCTGTTTTACCATCCAACAGGATGCGAGTTTGACTTCAACAACCAAAACGTGATTGGTTTATTGATGCCTGACATCCAGCACAGGAGAAGCATCCTTTTATGGCATACGGTTCATATTGTTTGATATCACAATTCATGGCTGTCGTGTCAAATTAATATCCTTCATCACCATTTACAATTGAAATTAGACATGGCTTTGTTTATATGTGTGTGAGCGTGCATGTGTTGTTTTATTCTGTTGTTGTGCTGTTCCACCTATCTTACCCTCGCTTTGTTAACAGTGTGTTTATGCTAGTGGGTGAGAGAGAGAAGGAGAGAGAGAGAGAGAGTCAGTGCATAAGTGTACTTGTATCTGTGTATGTTGGGACAAATTAGTTTTCAGCTTGATTGCCTGTGTGTGTAAATGAGTTTGAAAGGCTATGTAATCACCCAGGATGGGGACTTAGTGTGCACTGTATGTGTGGCCTTGTTTTGTGTGTGTGTCTGAAGGTAGCTGGACTTTAGCCAGACACTTGCCAGACCCTCGTTGGTATGTCCTTTCAAGAATGAAGAACACACTTG